CATTAATTTACTCGATTCCACGTTCAAAGTTCAAAGAGAGAATAGGCAAATGTGTGGGACGAACGACCAAATTCCTCAATACTAGGAATACAAACGACGAAGCCAATATATTCTTGAAATATTGTTTTTTTGTGAGCAGCTTATTAATGATGATGTACGATAATAGTAAAAGAATGACATATATATCGTAACCTGTAAAACTACAAAAATTCCATTAAGAAATAGAGTCAGTTTGAAATTTTTAAACATAGATATTATTATATTATATAATCCTAAGAACAAAAAGATATATAAAATATTAAGATAATTCGTAAAGTAATCTAACCTATGTAACAAAACAACTAAAAATTGAAATTCGCTTGAGTAAAATGTAAAATAATGTATCAGAGTAACATGTAGTGGGATCGACTCCAGGAGACAGAACATCACGGAAAAAAGCATGTCACAGACAACGCTTCTAGCAGAAACAGAATATTCGTGATCATGGGTGTACAGCCGTTGGAAACAATGAAAAAACAATTTGCCTGCGGTTGTTTCTACCTCCAACTTCGTTTCTTTCCAAGTTGATAAATTCACAGCAATGTGTATTTTTATTTTAATGCGATTTCGTTGCTCTACATTAAAATCGCTGAGAGCCATATACATACACGCCTAAAGAGTCATCTAATTACAAACTGAGGTATGCTGAGACCGACTGTATTCATTTGAGCCACGAGGGAAATTAGCATGATCACATTATACACAGCTCATTTATAATTACGTTCAAACTGCAGTCCATAATCCGTTAAAATGAGAATAAATTGAGCAATAGCAATTCTATAAGCATCAGAAAACCTAAATATAAACTCGATGACAATTAACGTAGGACAGAGCCGGTTTAATAATAATATCGTGCTGTAGGGATTTGGAAAAATCCCCGCAGCACAAATAGGACTTCAGTCTGACAGTATGTAGACAGAACGAGGGATTCATATGGCTTCCTGCAACTCACAGTATGTTTCATAAGCAGTTTTTATTCTCACGCACTCGGCTGTAAAACCGAAGTATTAATAAGATTTCTACATCCAAATTAGTTTCTAATTTTATCTTTTTATGCAATTTTCATTATGACGCAGTGTAATTTAGTAATTAACGTTTGGGAAGAACGTACAATCCCAATCTTCGGGGTTGACTGTATCTGTACAATTACGAAATCTAGTTCCCACCCGGAAATCAAACCAATTCAATCTTAATGACAGTCATACCAATTACAGAATTATAGACCACCTCGTTTTAAAAACAAAGCAAATACGGGTTCGGAGTAAATATTTCCAGGCAAGCGACACTGAAGTTAAAAAAATATTCGAAATAAGTCTTCTGAAATATTTATTTTGTTCCTATTCTCCTTTTCGACTGTCATTCGCAAACTTATGGTCTCTCATAAGCATACGGTTCCATAAAATGAGGTCATGTTTATGGAAATCAGACTATATACAAGAAACTGAGAAGAGATTCATAGAGGTTTATCTGTTTGATGCAAAATATGTGTAGTCTGTGTGGGGGGTAAAGAACTGGCTAGCAGTAACCATTACACCACCCTACATTTCCAGTCGACTGCTTCACGGTAGTGGGTGGAAAGTCGATAGGTATCGAATTACATCGCTGACATGAGAGCAGAATATTTCTTCATGCCCACACAGACCACCGTTTGGTGTTCAACTCCTATGGACATTGTCCTCAGGACTAACGTTAAGATTCATGATTAACCCTTTGAAGCAAAACTCAACTAAATAATATTTAAACAAAACCATATACACATTATGTGGGTTCAATATAGAGTCACTGAATTTCAATATTCTGACAAAGAAGCCTCACTGTCAATACACACCCCTGAAAAATTATGCAGTGGTTCATGATGATAAAGTATGTAACTTTTACTAAGGCCGTTTTAAAATGTCAGTATGGCAATTGTGAGAATAACGCATTTAATTCAATTCAATTCAATTCTTTTTATTAAATCACACTGATAATGATAAATGCTGGAGAAACACGTGACACAGTAATGTCGTATACAAAAAAAATATCCATAAAAATTTATTATCAGAACGACCTGCTATATGTTCTTTCTAAGTTCCTTGTACCCAGTTTAAAATTCTACAAACAAATCTGGAAAGTGTTGAATGTAATACGCAAGATTCAACTGTTCCGGTAACAGAGTTGTCAGCGTATTGTAACAATACTGCACCAACTGCAAATTTTTTTGGCTTAATCTCAGAACTATTATGCAGACGGGGTACTTAATTAAGTTTAATATTACATAAGAACTCCTTTTCAATCACATGTATTAAAATGAAGAATGAAATGGAAGATATAAAATTAATGGCGTTTAGTTACGAATTCTAAATGTGGGAGACATGGCCTATTTTATTGTCCTATCCAGCAAGAGACTTTGGAAAACCACGAATGGACTCTTTGTGGACAGAAGGTAAAGCGAACAGTTTTCGACGAGAACACCTCCGGAACTTAAGGGCACTACTGCAAGAGGACGAGACTGATATTAAAGGAACATCTCAGTGCCAATACATGGTTACAAAGTGATTATTGAAAGAACGTAGAGAAAACTACTTTCATTACTCCACAAACTTCGGAACTCCAAAATCTGTTATTTTATCGTAAATCGGATTGATATCTGATAAAGATAAAGGTATTACACTATAACAATTTGTTTTGCCAAGATTGTAGATCGGTTACAACATGATTTTTAAAAAGTGGGACAAAATTTACGAACCTCGAAAGATTGCCTCTATATTTCTTTGAAAATGACTTAGAAACAAGCATTAAGTTTATACTAAAACACTGTCACAAAATCTGCAATGCCATTACTGTAAGGTCCTCAGTCGAGAACTTCCTTAATGACTCTCTTCCCCAAGCGTATATCTTTATTCTCTTTCTACACTTCCTTCTAACTTTCCTCCTTGTAATATCCTACAAAGTAAAATTCCATTCAGCAGAATAAAGACATAATTTCAATCAGCAATACCAATATTACTTACGCTTCAATAAATACGCCTAACTTCCAACGACTTGGCGACAAAACATACATCGCAATATTTAAAATTTCTTTACGAAATACAGATTGCTATCGTGGTTCACTAAACCAAGAAATATTACTTAAATCACAAACTGTCAAGCGTAAAACAGAGTTGATTCGTCACTCGTGAATGAAGAGACACATTTTTTTCATATTAGTGAACATTTCATGGCTAAAACATCGTTGCAAATTACTAATATAGTTACAAGAAAGCTGAATAGAATTTTAAGGCATATGAAATACGAAGTCAGAGTGTCTCAAATACTGTTTAATACTTCAAAATTTAAAGCCAAAGTTTATCAACACAAGCAATATTTAAGGATTTTAGTCCGTACCGCAAAGAAAACACGATACTTTACAATTACAAAGATCGACAGGTTAATACTGTTTTATGAAACTCGTGAGTGAAAAATGCAAAGTCGTTGTACTTAAAAATTTTACACGGAAATTTACAAATTTTTCTTTCTTTTTTTTATAATTCTAATGGCTGAATCTCGTTAAGGTAATGTTTGATGGGGCGTGTATCTTTATCAGGTTGAAAGTAGAGCAGACGACCTCGGGTAGAGGGCAGATGCAGTTGCAATACATAAGTAGTCTCGAACAGAGAAGCCGATGAGAGGCGGTCATCCGTCATGGGGGGGAGGTTACCGTGTTACACAGTGCCTCGGACATGATACTGCGTCGTGTTTCTGTTACAAATATCAAGCGGTAAACAATACTGATGATAAATCCTAATGTAAAGTAGATAATAATCCTTCAAAAACATGGAAATACTTGTGTGTCCAGTAACGACAACAAAAAAGAAACAAAACATTCACAAGGAAGTTAAGAAAAATTTCTATGACTTCAGGTTCTCAGGGCGGATATTTTGAAGACTACTTCTGGTTTAGTCTGATAGCAATTTACAGAAGTTTCAGAAGTACTTACAGCCTCAATCATCACTCATCGCCCTGAAGATGGAGACAGTAAGCACCTCTGGAGCGTTTTTAAACTTCTACCAGACTGCACGGCACACCAGCTCACAAGACAATAGTCTTCCAAGTAGTTTGTGTTCCCAAAATTCTTGCTGCCATTTAGTCCACCACGCGCGGGGGGAAGTCACGAAATGCAAGCAAACTTTTAATCGGGAAACCCAAAGAGAGAAAACCTTTTACGAAATCTAGACGTAGATAGTAGAACAATATTAAAATAAATGCTGAAGGCAGAATGTGGAAGGATATGGACTGGATTAATCTGGATACGGTTCAGTGCCCGGTGGTAAACTTTTGTAAACAGTGTAATGAACCTTCAAATTAAATAATAGGGCAGTTATTTTTTGGCCAGCTGAGCGACGATCATCCACTCAAGAAGAATTCTTCAACCATCATGCATGCAGATGAATAAACGACCCATAATTTATTCTGAGAACCAAGAGAATATCTAAAATTAATTCTGTATGAAAAGCAAATAGAACTAATAATCATCACCGTTATATATAAAAAATTAGGTTTAGTAAAAGACAGAATATAATAAAAAATAACAGAGTGGTTCCATGCAATATAACAAGAGAAATAATTCTCATAAGAAGAAACGATGTTTTTTCACGGAAAATTTATGATTGCTCTAAAGAGTCCTTTACTCCCGTTTTAAATAGGCAATTGAGAAACGCCGATTAACCATTCATATGACAATTCGTGTAGAACCACGCTGGAAAACACGCCATGTTCTAGCCGTACTGGAAATTGGCGATTGAGTAATCACTCCATCGAAATTGGCTCTTGTCCGAAACTGAAGTGGTCCACTGTACCCATGACTTGACCTTAAATCGCCACAGGTGACCTCTGTTCCGAACCCTGATGCTGCCGATTCGGCAGCGTCTGCGCAGATATGAACACCGAGCCCCTCCCGAAAGACGACCGGATTGAGGCGCCAGTCAGACCTCGTGGTGCCTCGTGTGAATCAAGCGACATGTGTGACGCATACTTCGACAATGGTCAGGAACTCGCTGTAGCCATTATATCTGAAGTTCCCTCACCTTCCACTGCATTTACTTTCATTCTGTATTATTTCTTTACCCTCTTCTTTGAGAACTAGAGTATTTTAGAAAAAAGAAAGTTACAACTTACAATTGACTGTGTCTAAAGTAATTTCTAATCTTTGTAAAGCCTGTACTTTGCATTTCTCCTTGTGATATAATGTAATTATCTTCGTTACGTAACTTATTTCTCTCAGTAATTGTGTTAACGTTTACAGTGGCAAGAAATGTGTACAATTTTCTTCTCTGGCATCAACACGTAGAAATACTCCAGTACATGGTTCTTCTAAGGAAACGGGTAGTGAATCCCACGCGCCAGAGATTTTATAAACACAAAGTGGACTATTTAAATTTGCGTTACGCTGAGAATTTTAGTACGCGGAGGACATAGACTAATCTACGGGAACATTTACTCGATACGTGCAACGCATAATAATAATACTACTACTAATTATTTGTTAGTGCATCGGGAAAGTAGATCAGCTACTGACTGCTTCACGGTGTGACAAGTGTACTGATGTGTTGTGTGCTTAGTGATGTGATGTGATGTGTATCCGCCGAGATGGATAGATGTTTCTGGATCACAGTTAAGGATGTTATCGTGTTCCGATCACTTCCCAGGTGACGTGGACCTCAAGACTGTGACACTACTCAGTTCTTAGTCCGCCAAAAACCTGGCAGTGGCAAAAATGGGCCGATGGACAGGAACGGCCACACATCTGCTGGTGGTCTTCGCCATCTACTACGTTTCCGTGATGGACGCTACCAGTCAAGGTAAGGGATTTAAGTTCAGCGACGTATAATTACGTGTAATTCACTGAGGGATACCCTCAATCTCTTAAAAACCACAGACAAATGGTGGATATGTTTCGGTGAAGAAGTTAACACGCGAAGCGTAAAAAAAACAGTGCCCCACGTAACTCGGAACAACCTAGCGCCACGCCGCCTTCTGGCTGACTCATTTTCCGGCAGGTCCCTTGCTTCTGCTTCGTCGTCCGGTAGTGTCGGGTTCCACGTTAAGTGGGACATTCCATATATGTCCAGCATTCTCCCGGCAAAAATATTAAATACACATATACGATATATCAAATCCCTGTGCTAATTAATAGTCCTTTAAAAAGCGTATTAGAGACAGTCGATTATGCTAATTACCTCAACAAATATTAAGTTTTAATATTTTAAAATGTATGCATATTTTATACTTCGATTCCGTAATGGCGGTCTGTTATTTGTGCATGAATCTGTAATTTTTTTCCACATACATTTGAAGATTTTTTTACATTTTAAATTTGTATTGAAAGATTCACACAAATATTTTCATATTAAAATTATCTGAACATGATTAAATAAATTTCCACCCTTTTTATTTTGTCAGCAACTTCTTTGAAGAAACAAGCCTTATGCAAACATCAATAAAAATTATCTTACTTAATTTTTCTGAGCAAGATTTAATGTAAGCGACTCTTCTATTGGCGGTTATTATTAGATAATACCTCACACATTAATTAAAAATATTTAGGAAAAATAATGATTTTCGGTCAGGGTGAAAAGTGTCCGGACCAAGATTCGATCCCGGAGCATTTTTGAAACGAAGTTAGATATCCATAAACAAACGGATTCTCCTTTGAGCATCGTGTGCATTAGTTCGGTGAGCAGAGCCTGGAAAATATCGCTGAAGTGGAAATGTAAGGGTTTTAACTAAACACATTCCTATCTTTGAAGGTGTAACCTAAGCAAAGTAATTACATTCCCTTACGTAATGCAACTGCGCGCGAAGCAAGAAAATACTAGAGGAATTGGAACAGAGACGGTCTACAGGGAATTTCATATCTTGAATTTAATGAGTCTTTTTCCTTTTCTTTCTTTTAATGAAGTTAAACATGTTTAAAACAGTTTGGTTTTCATCCTCCAAGGAATCTGTCCATTAATAAGCCCCATGTTATCAGCACTGATTTTCTTTTGCCTCTAGATTTTTAATTCTTAAATATTAATTAATATTTCTTCCCTATAAATACCATGGAACATGGTGGCTATATGAACGAAACTTAAAAAGTAAAGTAAAGTTTGTCCCACTATACGCCATGTAGGCGTTTGGGGTGAGTGGAGGTATAGCTCCTCTCTTCCTTGACCTCGGCATTAGATGGGGGTGAGTGGTCAGCATCACGCCCCGGCCGGATTTACCCCCGGGAAAGGACCCCGGTACCCATTGTAGAGGAGGGATCGAACCCCGGCCGTCCAGCCCGTAGCTAGTCACTATACTGACTGAGCTATATGAACGAAACGTACCAGGATAAAACGAGATGAAAGTAATTTTAATTATTCTGCAGATAACACTGCGTTAATATGACTGTTATTTAACCACATCGAAGAAATGGAAATAAAATTGTTTTCGTATTTCCTTAAGACTTCTCTATCAATCCTTATTATTTCCATAAATGGTCCATAATTTCACATGTGGATCTTCAAGTAAAGTAGCCGTTATTTTATTTTAACAAAAACAGAAATGTAGTAATAAACTTTAAACTGACGACATAGCATAAAACTTCATGAAAATCCATTCAGCAGGTCCCAAGATGTTAAATGCTGACAGACAAGCTGGCAAGAAAAGAGACGACAATGCAAATAGGCGACTTTTTGAAACAATTTCTTCCCCTTTTTTTTCTTTCCCGGACGCTCTAGAAAGAACAGCTCAAGAGATGAAAAGAGTTTCTTGGTAGTTCTCATAGTTGACTAATTTGGTTCTCACTTATTGCTGATAAAATATGTTGTTGATACGCAAATACCATTGCATACATGCTGAATTACATTCCATAAAACCAGAAATAAGTATTCCTGGTATTTAATTAAATCTAAAGAACGCTGAAAATTTTTCAAATGCTTGTTTTATGACTTTCATGAGACCTGCATTTTATTTCACACACAAATATTCTGTGCAATGAGAGATTTTGTACGAGAATTAATAACTTCGATTTGAGATTCATACAAACTGTTGTTGCATCAGACGGATTCCTTCCAAAACAAAAAAAAATTTCGGCAGATATTAGTGTGTACAGCACAAAAGCAAATGTGACTGGACGCCATAAAATAGAGTGATTAAACAAGCTACTAAACTGAGAGGCGGAGAAACTTCCACTAAGCGCAAAGACAAAACACAAGAAAAAGAACAAATTAACAAAGAAAGAACAACAGAAAATATCAATGAAGGATTGTTTTAAATACGAGGGTCGCTCATTAAGTAATGCCCCACATTTTTTTCCTCAGAACATATTTATTCAAGATGGCTCAAATTTAGTGACAATATAAATCAATGTTTCCTTTACACATACTATTTTTCCACATAGTCCCCATCAACTTGTACGGTTTTACGCCAGCGTGGAACAAGGGCATGCATGCCTTGCCGGTACCAGCTCTTGTCCTGTCCCCGTAGCCATGTCCTCACTGCTTGAATCACGCTCTCGTCATCTTCAAATCTTGTTCCGCGGTTGAAATTACAACTTCGGATTTAGGGAATCAGTCACGTCGAATACCGGAAATTATACAACACTTCGCCAAATATTATATTTTCCATCTTCAGGGTGATTATGTTCATCAGATTCGCCTTCTAGTTGCCTAATAAAATCTTTAATAAAAATAATGAATACTTCTAAAACCTCGACGCTGGTCATCCCCGAAAGTCGAAGTTGTACACTGAATTAATATTAACAAAAGAGTTTAATTTTCTTAAACTTTGGATAATTTTTCTTTCACACAGATAACTAACTAAATCAATGGTGAGTAGTCTTTCTTGCGAATTTTATGTTGTATTTATTCATCCACTCCACAAAATTTATCCTTTGGGAGATACGATCGATTATTGACGTTGTTCAGAGAATCTCAACATTTGGGTTTATTACAAACCATTTCAAACAGGTCCATCACTTCACGACCAATTTATCTAAGATTCGTTACAGTATTATATTCACAGCCACAAACAGATCTTCTATATCATGTACACTAAAAATCCCTATTTTTTTCATAATTTTATTACCTATCTGAGGGGTTTATAATCTTCAATGTTCTCATTAAAGTGTGAGTGTTCATGACAACCATTTGAGGGTTTGACTTAACTTTGAAATTAAATCGCGATGTTATCACATGTATGCATTATATCAGCATTTCGTTCAGCTGAATAGTAAAAGACTTCCATGCTGATTACCCTTTATACAGAAATTTGCACGCTTTAGAATGACTATGAAAAACTGCGACCGTGTTAGGTTGAATACATTCAGTGTGACGTACATAAACCCAGAACTGGATTCATCAATCATTCTTTAGCGAGCCGTCCTTAATTTTCATGTCGTAGAAAACACCATCCAACATCACCAGTTTGTCATACGACACGGTATAATGATATGAAAAACATAAACAATTATAATCGTGTACGATATGGTTGAAAAAGCTTACAATGTTTAAGCATTAATAACTGAATTTCTATTTACGTTTATACAGGTTTTTGAAAGCCAAAAATTTGTATAGGATAGACCCTAGTCTACTTTAAAAGTTTTATTTTAGGACTCGGAGCTCGAAAATCATTTTCAGGTAATTTACTAATTACAAACCAGACACAGGGTTTCGTTTCCCGGCAGGCGAAGATAATTTTATCTTCGCAGTGACGCCCAGAATATTATCAACTATTATCATACGAACATGTGTTGGATAACAGTTGCGCTTTCTAAGAGAATAAAGCCATAAGAGCTTGCAGCTAGCTACTTATTTCTAGAGCAGAGGTTAGGTTAGGTTAGGAATTCGTGAATATCTATTGCAAGACCGCCTCAAAACACGGTGATTAAAGTAATCCTACCAATTACAACTACGTCTCCAAATATTTCTCTCCTGTTGAGATTTTCGGACTAAAATACTGAATACCTTTCTCATTTAATCTCTGCGTCCTACATGTATCCCAAATCTCTTTCTGCGTTTTATCAACATAATTCTATTTGGTTTAGGGAAAAAATTATAAAGCTCCCGTTCCATGTTACATTCATCTAGTCGTTGGATTTTTTTATGCGTAATTATGTTAGCTAACCATCCTGTAAAATGCACGGAACCTTTTCGAGCGCGCTGCTTAAAATGATCAGCCAACATCAAACTGCGACAGAATATGCAGCCCCTAGTCGCAAACTCTCTTTTGAAACAAAAATTTAAAACATGCAATATGCTTTATATCCTCTCGACTGAGAAACGGTGATTCACGAACTGATTTGATCTCAATCACTACACACATACACACAATCCATTGTGTCATCGGCTCATTCATTCGAACATGCCAACCTGACACTGTCGAGTAGCTGTTTTAATGATACGCGATGCGGATGGTATCAGTAAACACGGATTTAGCGCACAGTGATCAAAATCATTCCCTCATCCTACTACTGCCAACAGTTCATTACCCGCTGCAAAAAACGCAGAATCTGCACAGTTTACTCGTTTCGAAACGAACGTGTTCTAGTCGTGATGCTATAGAATTATAAATTCAAATTAACTGTTTTTTTTAAAACTCCTGCGTGTTTAAAATCGCTTCACGATACAAATAAAAAAAATTCTGTGAAATTTGACACACAATATTTATTTAACTTATGTGTCTACATACTGATGATAATAATAATCCATTGTTTAGAACACGGCAGTCGTCTGGGTTGTTAGGTCGTGTAGTCTGGTAGGATCTGTCGACGTTTCAGTGGTACTTGCCGTCTCCACATTACACATTGTCACAATCGCCACTGCTAAATACAATT